TGAAGGTTTTTTTTTTTTTTTTTATTTTACAAGAGATTTACATTTAAATCAGAAGACTTTGAGTAAAGTAAACTGTCCTCCATAATGCTATCATCCAATCAGTTGAAGACCTTTGGGAAAAAAAGACTGACCTCCCCTAAGGAAAAGAAAGATCTGCCAGCAGACCCCCTCAGACTCTAGCTACAACATCAACTCTTCCCCAGGTCTCCAGCCTACTGGCCTGCCCTGCATATTTCAGACTTGCCAGCCTCCACAATTGTGTGAGCCAATTCCTTGTGTACACATGTACACACACACACACACACACACACACACACACACACACATGACCCCCCCCACACACACACCTACTGGTTCTGTTTCTCTGGAGAGAACCCTGAGTAACACACTGGCTGAGCCCCAATAACCTCCTCACATATAAACGACAGCCTCAGCGCACGTATTAGAAATATCACATGCCAACCCTTGCTACAGAGTAGACACAAAATACATGTCAGCCACCCTCACTGATAACGAAACTAGGTTTTGTGCATTTGTACCTAACTTGATCACTGCTTGGTGGTAGAACATCAACAAAGTGAAGAAAGTCAAAGACAGATATTACAGATGAATTGGGGAAAGGGGGAAGGGAGCAGAGGGGAGAAAAAGAGACCTTCCTGAAGCCTCATACATTATGTGTAGGAAGCCCAGCTCAGCCAAGAGCTCCAAAAAAAAAATGGTAAGACAGAGAAGTCTGTCTTTTCCACTCCCTTCTCCCACTCACTTTCTGGGGTCCGTGCAAGTAAGCAATGAAAAATCAAAGGCCATGGACCAAAGTAAAAGAAAATTTAAGAGCATGGTTATTATCCCCAAAAGGATGGTAAGTCCCTGGAATAACTGAATATCACTCAAATAGTGTGCGTGAGCTTGTGTGAGTTTATGTGTCCGAAGGTTGTATAATCTTTAGTACGTATACATAGCTCTGGTATAGCACACAAAAGATTTTGCTCCAAAATTTCCTCTCCAAACTGACTGACTGGAACTTACAACACATATTTCCATAGAAACAATGTCAGGTCATCTCACACAAGCCTATTTTACACATGGTGGGGCTTAAATGCAACATTAATTAGTACAGTGTTAGTTGCAGATCCCAGGAACAAGGACTGTTCAGAGCAGAGTATGACCTACATGGCAATCCATTTATTTTATTGAACACCTATAGCATTTTCACATTCTAGTCAACATGATGCATAAACCCAGGAACAATATGCTACCCAGAATGATGCAAGATTGGTGTTTCTACTGTCTGAGTGTCTTTAACCTCAGATTTGAAGGCTAATTGTAAAGGATAACTCATTCATGTATTACATTTATTATTTAAAATATGGTACACATAATTATACATTCTATTGAGTCATAAGGTTTTATGCTATACTAAAAAAAATCAATTGCCAAAAAAACATCTAAAGAATAGGTGGCCATGGGACTGGGGGGCGGAGCAAGACGGAGGAGCAGTAACCAANATCTAAAGAATAGGTGGCCATGGGACTGGGGGGCGGAGCAAGACGGAGGAGCAGTAACCAAAGGTGCCTGCAAGTTCTTACATGCAGGTACACAGACACTGTGCTTTGTCAGATAGTATTCTTTGCTTCTGTAGTGGGGCAGGTGAGACCAAACAGCAGCTCTCCTTCAATAATTGGCTTACTCCTGTCAATTCAGACCATCTTCCTTCTCCTAATTAAAGGCTTGGCTTGTGGAGTAAGATCCACTTTCAAACCTGGGCTCTACCACTTACAGGCTGTGTAACTTTGGGAAAAATCCTTAACCTCTCTGTGCCTCAATTCGTTCATTTCTAAAATAGGAAGAATGAGAGTACAAATCTCACGGAGATTTATTAAGTATTATACGTAAAAATCCACATAAAGTGCTTATCACAGTGCCTGGCACTTATTAAGTGTGCGATAAAGACAATTATTGTGCCATGGTTTTTTGTTATTGCTATAATGTCAGAGCAAACAGTTTGCAAAGATCCGTCTAAACTCCAGGCCATGATGCCATGAGATTTTCAAGCGAGGGAAGCTAGGAGTCTAAGCTGAGATGGCCACAGAGGAGGTGAAGAGAAAGGAACAGTCACAAGATAAATTATGAAGATTTAATGACTCTCTTGGAGACTAAAGGAGATGAAGGAGTCCAACCTGACACAGCCTCCCAGCCTGAGTGTCCGGGAGAACAATGTTACCAGAGTCAAAAATCACCAAGTCAGGAATGAAAGCCCATTTTGGGGGGAAAGCAGCAGAGTTAGCAGTAATTTACCCATCTGCTTTGTAAAATATGATCTAGAACTATGCCATCCAACACATTAGGCACTAAGCCACATGTTGCTACTTGGGTTAAATTTAAATTAAATACAATTTAAAATTCAATTCCTCAGTCACACTGGCCACACGTGACTAGCAGCTGCTGTATCAGACAGCACAGATAGAAAACATTTCCATCACCATGGAATGTTCTATTGGACAGTGTTAATTAGCTTGAGGATCAACAAACTTTTTCTGTAAAGGGCCAGATAAATATCTTAGGCTTTGTGGGCATACAGTCTCTGTTGCAACTTCCTAACTCTGCTTCTGTAGCACAAAAGCAGCCTTAGACAATACATAAACAAATGGACATGGCCATGATCCAATAAAACTTTATTTACAAAAAAAGACAGTAAAGTTAGAGCGTGGTGTTGATAACACCAAGGTCCAGGGTTCGATCCCTGTTCTGGCCAAATGCAAAAAAAAATAAATGAATGAATGAATAAACAAATAAATAAACAAATGAAAGAAAGAAAGAAAGAAAGAAAGAAAGAAAGAAAGAAAGAAAGAAAGCCACAAATATGTATAAGTAAATGTAAGTAGGCAAGTAAATGAAAGAAAGAAAAGAAAAGAAAAGAAAACAAAAGAAAAGAAAAGAAAAAAAAAGAAAAGAAAAGAAAAGAAAGAAAGAAAGAAAACGAGATTTAGCCCATGGGCTATAGTTTGCTAACCCCTGATCTTGAAGCCTAAATTTGGAGGCACAAATTGTAGTTTTAAATCTCAACTGTCACAAGCGAGATTTAGCCCATGGGCTATAGTTTGCCAACCCCTGATCTTGAAGCCTAAATTTGGAGGCACAAATTGTAGTTTTAAATCTCAACTGTCAGTTATTAGCTGTGTGATCCTGAGAAGTTACTTAAAGTCTCCTAGCTTCAGTTTCCCACAGTGTAAAATAAGAATAATAATACATACCTCATAAGGATGCTGGAGAAATTAAAAAGAAATGATGTACATAATATAACTGGCTTTTAGAAGGGATTTGCCCTTCATCTCATGACTTCCAGGGCTACGGCAGAAGTTCCTGAGCATATCTTTTCTCTAACCCTCTACTTCTGTCAATTAACACTAAGTCCATAGGTCAAGAATACTATGAAACAGCAAAAGCCCAGTCTCAGAATTCTATCTGGGCCTTTACTGAGCCGGTGGATATACTCTCAGCAGCACTCATCCTGGAGCTTTTAAATTCCTGAAGAAAATTAACTGCAGCTCATAAAACCAGAGTCTTCCTGCCCCGACTGCAAAGGTTGTTATACTATTCTTGAATTTGCTTGGACAAGTCCTAAAATTTTCACCTTTCCCCCTAAGATGGATAGGAGCAGGTCTGGGGAGCACTGCTGCACACCCAAGCCACAGACCCAGAGGTCAGAGGGAGAGAATGCCAGCGTCTTCCTCCTTTCTTCTTTTTAGCTTGGCAAAGTCAGGACAGAGAATGGAGCAAGGAGAGAAAGCGAGATGGCTGCAACCTTTGGCTGGAGTCAAGGAATTCTGAGGGTGTTCACCTCAGTGCATTCAGGAACAGAGAGAGCTTCCTGTTGCTCCTCTGCCATTGCCAAGTGCATTTCTCAGAGTTCACAGAGTCAGCCACACATTTTATGGCCTGAATATGCCCTAAATTCATGCTGCCTGAACAAATGTCAGTCTCCTCCATCTGTCTGCATGCTCTGCTTCTGGCTGGTTTTATGCCTCTCAAGAATATATATTCCACATGTTACACAACAATGCTGGTCAGCACCTTTGGGTGCGTGTGTTCCCCAGCCTCCTGCGGCCACTCCCTGTGACTACCAAAGACACCACCGTCTTTCCAATGTGTTTTCCTTGAGTCTGTGAACATCACCTTGTTCCCTGATTCTTCCCAACTGTCTTCAGACTTCCCCCATCGACTTCGTCACAGAGTTCACCAACAAATCAGACTGGATGGAATCGTAAATCCTGAATGAACTCTACATATCTCTGTGTTGTTACACGGGGTAAATTTAGAGGAAAGAGAAATAAATCTTCCCACTCAACGCTGGTAAAGAGCCCAGGTTTTAACTTCAAACTCTAAACTGGAACATTTAACTAGCAACAAACATCTCTTAATACTTATCATTTCAGCTGTTGTAGCTGAACCATAAAATTGAACTATTTATTTTTAAAATAAGAATGGATGGTTGTTTAATAAAGTCAGAATTATTTGGGCAATGACAGGGAAAATAAATGCCTAGAAAATGTGCAAGTGTTTCAAAAATCTCACTGGCAGATTTCTACAATCTTATTAAAACCTGGATGTCTGCCCTTAACTCTAGACATCGGATCTAGTCAAAGTTTCATAAAACACTTTGTGACCAGTTCTCCAAGTTCACCTAATCTGCATGCAATCTTCAATCTAAGAATTTTAACCAGGCTACAAGTCAAATTATTTAAGAGAAGGACAAAAACAAAAACATACACAACAAATTCTATATCCAAACTCTTTATAATCATTTACACTTAAATTATAAAACTATTTAAAATATTTATTCATGTAATTCAAATCAGCTAAAAATTATCCCTACATTATGTGGATATAGTCAACAATGTGATTTTTGGCTTGAAATTTCCAAATTCTTACATCAGTTTTCAAATGTACCTTGTGTGCAAACGTATTTTCACCGTCTAATTTTACTACCCCCCAAAAAAAGCCCTATAATTAGGTGTTTGTCTGCATCATGATCAGAACAGTCTGTAAAAGAACATCGAAAAAAGAACTTACGTGCAAAATTTCCTAATCTGCATTTGACAGTTTTTAAAGGAAAATAGTAGTAGTTAGTAACAATGTTTCAAAAGACTCAACAAACTCATCTAAAAGGATAAAATGAGACTTTTTATTTTACTACGTTTACTTCATCATCTCTATGCATCTCAGCTTAGGGCACAGAGTTAGAGAGACAAGTTTAGCTAAAAATAAGTAACAGAACAGTCATGAACATGTCTTAACCAAATGGCAAGTTTAAAACTAGGGACAAGAAGAATGCCACTTCGCATATACCAAAGCCACATTAAAAAATAAAAACAAAAACATAGCAGGACAGAAACTAAACAGAATTGCTCTTAAAATTATCCTAACAGTTTTCTGCCATGCATTAGTTTAAAATTTTTAAACTTTAACTATACCCACTTTTGTAATAATGGGCATGATTACTTTAAAAATAAGGTAACCTAAAAACAATTCTGCGTTAAAGAACTTTTTACCTAAAATGCATTCATCTGTAATTGGCATATAATCCATAATGATTACATTGGATTAGTTTAGGTGGAGAGCGAATCTCTTTGGTGAAACCATATTTTCAAAACCAATATTAGAACATGTGGTTTGATAGAGAATTTTTACCTTTACCATGTACAAGAGAAAATCTTAGAGACATTTTAAAGGCAAAACCATATATAACTTCAGGATCACTTTGGTAATTTTAGAGAATGATAGGCTAGAACATTTTAAATTAGAACTGAACTAGAAAATCAGAAAACCAGGGCCTTGGTAACTATTTTCCAGACTCTTCCAACTGAGAAAGGACAATGAAACCTCATTAAATCAGACTCGAGTGACTCAGAATTTGAAATAATTAAAGACAGAAGCTGGGACAACATTTAATTCAACCTAAAGAATGTTTAAAATCTAATATCTATGAAGGAAAAACCTGTTTTCATCTCTCAGGTACCACAAAAGGTTGATACGCTGTTTTTAATTAATTCTTTTCCTTTCATCAAAGTATATTTCCTCAGCGTGCTTATTCTCTATTTCTGAGTCTTAGCTATTATACTTGTCTGAACACAGTACAAATGCATTTTGGAGAAGGTTCCATAACACAGATTTATTTCGCTGTATCAGGCTGACCTCATCCCTCTTGTCATTTTAATTAATGAGGTTTTCATGCATATTTACAATATTCAGTTGACCACCGAGTATCTCCCTACTTTTGCATGAACGCCAAAGATAACTGATCCAAAATAGGAATAAAAAGTGATCATTACTTACGAACACAACTTGAAAAGGTAGGATCCGGCCCAAATCCCATTTTGCAGGTACATCTATAGCTGCCCATGGTATTCAAGCACTCACCATTAGGGCACACACCTTGTAGCTGGCATTCATTAATATCTGCAGGAAAACGAAATTACTTTAGAAGGGGCAGTCAAACCTTCTTGAGCAGATTCTGGCTGTAAATTGCATTCACTTTCTTTTTCACTATAATAATGTCTAAGTTACTGAAAATAGGGGATGTAGCAGGCGTGAATGACCTAAAATCAAGTTAACATTTACTGAACATCTACAATTTATATAACAAATAATTATTATGCACCCACTGCATGCCAGGTTCTATTCTAGGCACTAAGGATTTACTAGTGAACAAAAGTGAACCAAAATTCTGGCCTTCACAGAGCTTACATTTTACTGTTAGTGTATATAGGCATTATGATACAGCACACAGGTTCGGCAGACTCTTGCCCTGGAGGCACTGACAGTCTAGCTGTACATACATGAAAAATTAACGAAGTGAAAAGCAGTTCAAGTTATCACAATTAGAAGAACTGTCATAAACTTGAAGACGTTAAATTACAAAACTGCCTATATAGACAGTAAGAGCCACTAAAGGAAGTAAGAGGAAAGAGAGACTGCCACATTGAGGCTGCTGAAGTCTGGGGAGGAGGGGGATGGCTGGATGAGGGCAGTGAGGAATGACTTATGTGGGTGGACAGTGAAGTGGGAGTGCAGAGACAGGCCAGGGGAAGGGGGCTCAGGACACAGTGAGTCAACCCATTGGCTGGAAGAGAAGTTTCAGGAAGGTAAATAGTTGGAAACAGAGCTGGTAAAAAGCCAGCCTAGAACTGAGTTCAGTTTTACTGAGAACAGGAAGCTATAGTAAAGGTTTCTGAACAGGAGAAAGATGTAATCAAAAGCAGGCTCTAGGAAAAGTCACCTGGTCAGCACATGGCTTGGTGAGAAAAGACTGAAAGTCTGACCACTGTAGGGATCATGCAAGTAGGAGGCTGGTGACAGTGAGAATAATCAAGAAGATAAGGAATGAAGTTTTCTTCTTTTTTTTTTTTTTTAAAGGAATTATTGACAATGCCTCGTGCTCCATGAGCAATGCAACACTAAGGGATCATGCAAGTAGGAGGCTGGTGACAGTGAGAATAATCAAGAAGATAAGGAATGAAGTTTTCTTCTTTTTTTTTTTTTTTTAAAGGAATTATTGACAATGCCTCGTGCTCCATGAGCAATGCAACACTAGAAAGTCAGAGAAAGGTGTCAGAGATGTCTGGGAGGCTTCTAATCTGCAAATAGAGGAAAAACACCATTGGCTTTGTGGAGAGAGTTTTGAGAAGGAAAGAGAGATAAGAGACGAAGAGCTCAGCTTTACAGTTCAAGGTCACGTTGGGAAACCCAAGTAGAAATATCCAGCAGCAGCAGAAGGTTCAGGAATAAAGTGAAAGAGGAAACCATGTCTGGAAATAGAGACTTAAGATCATCTGTATATGGCCAGCCATGGGGAAATCAAAATGATTTGGAAGAGGAGAGAGAAAAATGTAGTGACTTTAAAAAGAAAGAGTATACAGTCACTTGCAAAGGTAATTAATTAAAAATAAAAAAAATTGTGATAAGGTAAAAATGATTAATTAACAGTAATTTATATTTCATTCAGTGTGGCCTGTGGCTATAAGCACTTCCATTTCAAATAATACTTTCTTCGATCATTAATTCTTCTACAAACTGTTAAGTTTGTAAGTTTACAAAGTTTTCTTTGTAAAATATTAATTTATTAAGTTAAAATTGAATACAATGGTAGCAAAACATTACTAGCAGAATCTTCACATTAAAAAAGCAAAGAAAACCCTCAAATCATTATTTAAGCAAATATTAACATTACTTAAACGTGAATATGTCAAGTCCTAAGTAGGCATAGCTATCTATATGTACATACTTTATCCAAAATATGCAGTTTTAAAGTTAATTTCAGTGATAAAATATGATATCTTCAATGACATTGAAATTATAAGTTAACACATATCTGGGTTTTTTGTTTGTTTTTGGTAGCTGGCTGGTATGGGGATCTGAACCCGTGACTCTGGTGTTACAATGTTGTGCTCTAACCAACTGAGCTAAACCAGCCAGCCAAACACATATTTGTTGTATAAACTCTACAATATTCCAACTTGGACACACCTGGAAACTGGTCGAGCCAGATTACACCAGTCACAGCATATGGTCCAACACCTGACAGTCTTATTCTTTCTCAGAGTGTGTGTTGTGCTATAATGCACCTTTTTATGCAGAGCATGTAACTGAAAATATCACTCCATAACTCATGCTTCTTAAGAAAACCACTGTGAAGGACCAGGAAGAATGCCAAGTCCAGCTGTAGCTCACGTGGTGCGAGTGAAGCCCCAATCCTATGTCCCAAGTGAAACCTCAGGTTTTGGTAACCAGCCAGTTGTGGTCAAAAAGCTGGACAAATCTCCACTCTTCTGTTTTCCCTCAC